CTTGGCATCCGGGAGCTAGAACTGAGGAAAAGGGGGCTTAAACAGAGGGCTAGTACATGTGGGGGGCTGACAGGATGCATGCATTCTGCTCAGGAACAGAGAGGAAGGGGAGGCAGAGGGAGAAGGTAGAGAGAAAGTGGGGCTGTCATTCATTACTCTTCTCCTGATTTCCATGAGGTAATATAATACAAGCTCCCCCACCCCAAAAGCTGGTTCAAACTGAATTTCTGTTATTTTCAAGCAGAAGAATCCCCACCATTTTTACTAAGATAAAATGAAAATTTTCCATCTGTAAAATTTTATGGATGCCTGACTGGTGTTTCCAAGAACATCAGCTGCCCCGTGGGACGGGCCTCTGTGGTGGGATTGAAGGGGGGGGCGATCATCCTGCCCGCTCCACTGGCCTCCAGAAGGCCTCATGGGCTGCAACTGGGTCAAGGCTTTGTGTTCTGAGGAAGGAGTCTCTAATCAGCAGACTAGGTCATTGGCGGGATTGGGCTTTTTTAAACTAGGAAATAGGAATGTGCATAAATGCTTATTAACAAATGCATAAATGATCAAAGGAATGCTAGGGCTGACTAGGGGTCTGGAGAGGAACACTTACACCTTTGTTGAAGCAGTCTTGTCTCCCACTTAACACCAGAGCCCCAAAGGGCTCTAATAAGTGTAGATTTTGCCCAGGCTTCATGAAAGGTGTGTCTTAGGAACACTATTAGAGCCTTAATTTGTGCCTGACCTGGGTGGGGTGGGGCTATTAGGATAGGAACCACCAGCCTCCAGGCTCCAAATACCAGGCATGGCTGATCAAACAGGTAGCAAGAGGTTAGTTAAAAGCAGCCCTGCCCAGATTACGGTGAGTCATCAGAAAGCTCAGGATAGACCTGTGTTTGTCAGTCCCTAGATTCAGTGTCCTCTCTCCCTGGGTGGCAAAAATGGTAGGCCCCAGGATGTGTAGGTTTTGGTCATCTTGTAGACAGGGCCTCAATTCACAGGATACCTTGTTTCCAAGTCTCTCTGGTGCTCTCAGGGGTGGCCTGAGAATGCAACCTCAGCATTCTCCCCTTGCTGTGGCTGGTGTGGGAATTTACTGCCCATGGATATAAAGCCACCGCTGTGCCCAAGTTCACGTCCACACAGCCAGTAAGAGCCAGAACCAGGTCTCCCACTCAAGGGCAGTCTGGCTCCAGAGCCTGAACTCTTCCTAATTTTACAATAAAGTTTCCTGCTTTGATCACACAGAAAGACTGCCTGTCTCCTCCGATCCACAGATCCAGCAGCGTTTTTCAGCTCTGCTGGAAGCACAGAGCCTCAGTCCTTCTTCCCTCTGAAATCCTCTCCTTAGCTGTACCATGGCCTCCCCTTCCCTGCCTACCCCTTCGTCTGCATTTTTCAAACTGTGGGTCATGTCTCCTTAGCAGGTTACAACTAAGAGAGAATCTGGACTAGTTCTTTGCTGCTGTTGTTATTGTTTCAATGACATAGAAAAATCAATCGAAAATATCTTTCCTTTCCTGGCTTCTTGCCCGTGGTGCAACCCCACCTCCCCAAGTAGCCAGGAAACTCCTACTCATCTGTCAAGTGTATGTAGCACATAGCGATCAAGATGTAGGCTCTGAGCCAGAATGCCTGGGCTTACATCTCAACTCTACCACAGTGCTGTGTGACCTTGGACAAGTCATTGAACCTCTCTGGGTCTCAATTTCCTCTTCTGTAAAATGAGAGTTGTAAGAGCACTTACTTCACAGATTTATTGTGTGAATAAAATAAGTTAACATATGCTAATAGCTCAAACCAGCACATTAGTATTATGATATATATTATATATTGATATGGTAAATGGTAATGATTATTATTATCATCTCCTTTCTAAAGCCCTCCTGGAGCCCCTAGAGAGACCCAGGTGTTCTCTGATCAGAGGTCCCTCAGTGCCAGGTGACTTTCCAAAGTGCACATTTTGGATAGCTGCCATCCCATTTTTCTATGATGAGAGCATCTTCCCACCAGCCTGAAACCCTCGGGCCTGGCACCTGGAGGGTAAGAGCTTGGGCCAGAGAGCCTGAAATCTGAGTCTCCAACCCTGCTATTTGAAGTTGCTTATCCTTTCTTTTTTTAATGTTTTAATTTTTTTTTTTAAGATTTTATTTATTTATTCATTAGAGACAGAGAGAGAGAGGCAGAGGGAGAAGCAGGCTCCCAAGGAGCAGGGAGCCCAATGCGGGACTCGATCCCAGGACCCTGAGATCATGACCTGAGCTGAAGGCAGACGCTTAACCATCTGAGCCACCCAGGCGCCCCAGAAGTTGCTTATCCTTTCTAAGCCTCAGTTTCCACTTCTGTAAAATGGGAATAATAACAGCACCTGCCTCATAAGCCTGTTACAAGTATTAAATGAAAGGACAAATGGAAAGTGCCTAACCCAGGACAAAATTAGCTGTTTTTCTCAGAGTGTAGTTCAACTGATGGTTAAGGAACAAATGAAACTTCCAAAACCTCACAGATGCCTGGAACTTGGAAGATGCTCATTGCTGATGTCTGATAATTGGAGTGCAGATCAAAACTGAGGCCATCTGCCTCGCCTGCTGGTCCTCCGTGTAGCTGACTGCAATCACACACAACACGGTGCACACTGAATAGAGCTCTACAGTTGATAACGCCCGTTCACACATGGAGTCTGGAGGTAAAATCCCCATTTTACAGATTTGCAAAGTACCGTACAGCCGGCAGGGGGCGACGCTGAGCTTTGAGTCTGCTTCCCGCCACCCCCCACCCCCCGCCAATCCTACAAAGGCTCCCGGTCAAATTCTGAGACGAATGCCAACCTCAAAGCTGATTTACCTAGCGTGGCTGAGTGGGGGAGGGCGTCAGAAAATGGTTTACCTTAAAAGAGGAATTTAGCACCCCCCGACGTGCGGAGGAATGAAGTGAGCCAGAACTTTGGAAGCAGAACCCACCGACGCCTGGCTGTTTGTTCTCGGGCAATTCACTTGAGCAGTTTATGAAGATGCAAAGAGGCAGGGATGCTGTTGTGTTGCCTCCCCCAGATTTTCGTGAGGATCCAATACAAGAACAGAAGGCGAGTGCTTTACAAATACTAGTTACTGCATTCTTTACTGCACGGTTGATAAAGAGGCCCCGGGGCCTCCTCAACCCTTTAAGAGGGTTGGCGGGTCTGCGGACACCCGCGATGCGGCGGGAGCGGAGCTGGTCTCCTGCGGGGCGGGGCGGGCAGGGGGATTCTGCTCTCAGGCCACACAAACCAACGAATGGCATAATACTGGTATTTTCTTAGAGCTTCGGGATGACTACAAAGTGTGGAGAGGAGGATCGAAAAGGCCTTTTAATTTTGCTGCCTGACCATAAAGCACGCATGGAAGGTTCTTCAGACAAGCACACAGCCTCCGCCTCATCTGGATTGCGATCAATCCAGAGCGCTTCTGAAAGAACGCCTCCATTGACATTTTCCGAGACAAATGAATAAACCCATCAAAACGGTTACGGAACCAGTTTCTGTTTTAATATTTCCAGGAAAAGGGAACATAAATTCTGCAGAAGTCATTTAAAGTCATAAACCTTAACATGTTTGCAGAGCATTCTACTGGCTGAAGTCAACGGGGTGACTCTCGGCCAGAGGACCGCCCTTCTGCAGCGCCCGGGCCTAATGGCACTTTTGAAAGTTCTCCAAGTGACACTGCAGAGAAAAAAGTTCTTTTGCCTTCAGAGCATTGGTTTTATTTATTTATTTATTTTTCTAAGTAAATCTTTTGATTTGGGAATCAAGAAACAATGGAGTCTCTGCTTTTTGATGTTAGTTCTCAGGGAATTTTTTTTTTTTTTTAAGACACAGCAAAATGCAGTTTTTCCTCCCTGAGGCTTTGGTCAGGGGAACGGGGGTCCTTAGGCTGTGTCAGAGTCTGAGAACAGGGTCAGAGTCTTCAGAGCCCCCAGAGGGCCAGGGTCCTGCTCCAGAGGAGCTGGAGATGAGTCTAGTCCTTAAGCTCATTCTCCACAGATACTCCTGGGGAACACTAGTCCTTTCAAAATAGACATTTCCTTTTGCTTTCCCATCAAAGAAGCATGGCAGTTGGAGGGGACAGGGACAAATGGAGGTGGGCAAGGCAGGACTGGACAGTTTACCAGGCCAGGAGGCACGTTTCCAGTTTCCAGGGACTAGTGAGGAGACTGGGTGTGCCGCCTGGGCCCCTGCCCTCCTGGAGGAGGAAAGGACAGGAAGCCAGGGGCAGAAGCAGGCAACTGGAAGGAGGGCAAGTTGGCCCACAGGGAAAAGCTGAGGCAGAAGCTCCGGGCGCAGGTCACTGAGAGCCGTCCAGCAAGGAAGGAGAGCAAAACCTTGTGGAGAGTAGGGTTGGAAAGCAAGAGAGGGCGGAAGAGCCCGCAGCAGAAGTGGCTCAAGGACGTGGGGAGGCATCCCCCTTGCAGAAGGAGGGGACCGCAGCTCCGTCCTCCCTGTGCACTGGGCCGCTCTGAGGAGAAAACCTCCACCACTCGTATCACTGTGGGGCAATACTGCTTGGTATTCGACCCCATCCAAGGAGACATTATGGTATTTTTTTTTTTTTGCCCTCCGGTTCCCATCTCTACTCCAACTCGTGAACTCTAACTTAGGGAATGCCAGGCAGTCCAATGTGCTGGAGAAAAACTTCACCTATCTACTCGTACTCATTCAGCAGCTTGGGTTTGACCGTCCTTTTCCCAGGGAATTCTCCCTGAGCACCCTGGCCAAGGTTAGGTCCTGCCCTGAATTCTTCCTCCATGCCACTGTTAAAACGGCAGTTACTTACGTATCTGTGTCATTATATCCTTACTATCTGTCTCCTTGGCCAGTGTGTAACCCCAAGAGAACGCTGTGTCTATCCTGGCCTTTGCCAAACACCCTTACCAGGGCAGTACCTGGGACGAGGTAGCACAGAATCTACACTGGAAGATGAAAGACGAAATCCTAATGATTCCCCCTGAAAGAGCCACGGAAGAGCAGGACTTACTGCACAACTTGTTCTGGAACACGGATGTCAGTGACTCCATCTGGCTGAAGTTGGCCACTAGGAAGACGTGGTCCTCATGTGGCTCACTCCCGATGGCCTTCAGTGTGTTGAGGTCCACCTGGCCCACACCGATGGCAAAGATCAGGATGCCGGTGTCCCGCGCCTTTGCAGCCACCTCAGCCACGGAGTCCTGTGGCCTCCCATCGGTCACGATCATTATGACCCGCAGCACATTCTCCCTCAGGGGCCGGGCCCCCTCTGCTTCTGAGAATGCAATGTTCAGGGCATACTGGATGGCCAGCCCCGTCATGGTGCCCGTGGACAAGTGCCTCATCCTCTTGATGGCGCGCTCCACTTCAGACCTCCTTTTGAAGGTCTTGAGGGAGAACTCGTTCTTGACGGTGCTGCCATACTGCAGCAGACCCACCCGGGTGACGTCAGGGCCAATGTCCAAGAACTGCAAGATGTCCACAATGAACTCCTTGACCTTGGCATAGTCATGGGTGTTGACGCTGCGGGAGCTGTCGATGATGAAGACCAGGTCCACCCGCTTATTCTCACAGGAGCTCTCTGGGGAAAGAGGAGAGGTCAAACTCATGAGAGGAGCGCCAAGGGCCAGTGCAGGCTGGCTGTTACTGGAAATCCCAGGGCTGGGGGATCACCTTTCAGAATTCCAATCTTCCCTGGTTTTTCTTCCCCACTCGGGGAAGCTTTAAGGGTACAAGATGCATGACCGGGTGATCATGAGTATTGGCTACAAACAGATACTATTTATTTTTGCAAGATAAACGAACACTTCAGTTCCTAGAAAGTCATCCATACAGTTTTTACGTGGGGAAAACACCTGATCAGGGTCAACACGATTTGATTATTTACTGCATGCCACATAAGCTTGGCTGGATACTACAGGGACTATACAACAAGCCAATAACCAATGTCAAGGAGCTTACGATCTACCTTGGGAACTTAACTAGTGGAACAAGTGAAGCAGTGTGGTGCTGTCACTGGATGTTCAGAGAACAGGGATGTTAGTGGGCTGGGGTCAAGGGGACAGGACATGAACTAGTTTTATGCAATGTTTGGATCGAGAGAAGGAAACACATGGAGAGAGACACATGAGCAGAAGCTTAAGATGGCAGGAATATGGCGGAAATGGAATGAGGGACAAAGAAACCGCTAGGAGGTGCAGATAGGAATGGAGCTGGAGGTAACCTGAAGCCCGCCATGAAGGGCCTGAGAAGTGGGTGCGTGATGCCAGAGGCGATGGGCAGAATACAGTAGCAGCATATTATGTCCCTTAGCTGGCCTCTAGGGAGGTGACATAATAAGTCAGTTGAGGGTGATGCAGACCATTGCTGCACTAATCTGTCTGAGAGGGGGACGCAACCTCAACTGGGGTGGGGGGCATCGTGGAACTGGAAAAGGGACTGACCAAGAGACATTTCAACCAAAGATACTGTAAAATGGGAAACAGGCAAACGTTAAGTCTCTCCCCTACCCCCACCATACTTATTCCTTCAGAGCCCCCAAACAAGAAGGCTAGAAGGGGTTTGAGTCTGTGGACGAAACTCATCACATTCTGGGAAGAGGCTGATAGGGGATGAGAAGAGAGGCCTCCTGCCTCAGAGGGTGGAGGCTGGGCCTCCCTATTGGAATTTCTCCGATGTTCCAAGCTACTGCCTTCAGCCAGGGGCGGGGGATGGGGGGAGGCCCTCCTCCCCTTCCCAGACTCTGTAGCTAAATCCAGATTTGACAGGGATTAGAAAAGGGATCCCAAATGCTTTCCCTAAATCCCAATCACCACAACTGCAAGAAAGAGAGAGAAAGCCAAATATGGAACAGTGAACCCAGTCATCAAAATGAAAAGTGGGGAAGGCCCATGTAGTCATCCTGTCCGGGCCGGCTTGCCAGGTTCTGACTCGCCCCAAGTGCCTGCACACACACCTCGTCCACTGTGGCCTCGTAAGTCTTCCGATTTGGGGGCAAGGAAGCACCCCCAAACACCAGCATCCTGGCAGGAGACCAACCTTGTGCTGTACCTACGTCTAACATGGGGCTGTGTGAGTTCAAGGTGAGTTTCTCAAACCAGAGGCCCCAGAAACCGCCTTTGAGGACTCTGGGAGAAATATCAATATAAAACCTGACATTTGTGGGATGTTTTCAGATCCTTTTTCCAGAGCGCATTCATCACTATGGTCTCATTTGATTTTCAGAACAAGCTCTGAAGAGGAAAGTAGGGTGTCATACCCATTGGATACATGAGAAAATGGAGGCGCCAAATATTGGAAAATCTCTTCTAATGTAGGAAAAAACCTATATGGAGACACACCAACACCCACCACATTAGGCAGTAGTGAGAATTCAGGGGGAAGAGGGTGGCCTTGGGCCCCGGGTGTGGGAACCCTCTTGTCTGCCCACACCGCCTCCCACTTCTCTCCAGCTGGGCCCAGGCTCCAGGGGAGAAGCCTGCTGTTCCTGGCCGTGTAGTCCATGTTGCCCACAGACACCTGCCCTAGGAGGCAAGTGACTGAAATCCAGCCCAACCCTGAGCCCCCAGGGCTGCACCCACCCTGAGAAGCACCTAGAAGGGGTGCCTCTTCTAATATTTGCAAAGGTGCCTATGGTCTAGCATACAGACCTTGGTCAGAGCCATGGGTGACAGACCCGCAGGTCCCAGGGCCCAGGCTGGCCCCTCTCCAGGAGCCACCCACACCCCACCACTGATGTGTGAGCTTACAGCAGGGAGAATGTGGCCCAGGAACCTCTGCCTGCTGAGGGGAACTGAAACCGGGCTCAGACAAAGGGAGATATGAAGGAAAGGCTGCTTGGAAGGGGGAGAGGAGACAGCAGACTGGCCCCCTAAGAACTCTTCCTCTGGAGAAGTTTGGAAGCAGGAGGTCCTCTGGGGTTGGGATTCTTGCTGTGGGTCTTAGTCACAGTATCAACATCCCATCAAGCATCACAGTCAATTTAAAGGGAAGCCTGGAGGTTCCATGGGGAATGATGTGCTAAACTGGATTAGTTCCCATCAAAACAAGTGTATCATTTCCACAATGCCTGGGCATTTACAAAAACACCACAAAGTTTTAAAATGTTGTTGGAGGTTCCAAGGGACCTGTGACTATGAGTGGAAAGTGAGGCCTCGAAGCCCAGGTAACAGAGTTTTCTTCAAGACAACCTCTCAGATCCCTTAAGGGCTCAGAACCAGTCTTGCAGCTTGTCCCCGAGAGGACCAGTTCAGTGGTTCTCAAACTGGAGGTGCCTCCCAATCCCCTGAAGGAGCATTAAAAACTAAGATCGGGGAGCCACACTTCCAGAGCTTCTGACCCTGTAGATCTAGGGTGGCACCAGAAAAATCTGCATTTCTAGCAAGTTCCCAGGTGAAGTCAATGGCGCTGGTCCAGAGACCACACTTTGAGAACCACTAGTTTAGGTACTAGAGAGATCTCTGGAGAAAAGACGTTCTGGCAAGTCTGGACCTCACCATCTCACTGTGAATTCCCCAAAGTGGGAAACTAGTCTCATTCATCTTCCCAACCATGTAGTTGGGAAGAGAGTCAGTCTTGAGTCAACATTTGTGGAATTAAATGGAATTCTGGGTGGTGGAGCAAGGTTTCAGGTGGAAGGGATTGAACCAGAGCAGTCAGTTCAAGCAGGTGGATGAAAACCACAAAGTCAAAAAGTTCTAGAGTAGGTGTGGCTCCTGCTAATAGAGTCACAGATTCTAGATGTATGGCCACTTTTGAACTTTGGTTCACAGACTCATAGACTAATAAACTGTTAGAGCTGGCGGCGTCTAAATAAAGTCCAAGTCACTCACTTTACAGAAGGGGAAACTGAGGCTCAGAGACATGACGACTCATTAGGGTCAGTCCTGGGACTATACTGATGGCTCTTCCACCATCTCATGGTGGGCACGTTGGAAAATTCTCCATACAGGTGGCCTTACAATATGAGCTCTACAGATGCTTGGGAAGAGCCCCACAGCTTTTCCATATGGGGACTGCTAAGAGGTGTTTCCAGAAAATGGACTCTCCTCTGTGTGTGTCCCTTCCACAAACTGGTTCTGATAAACAGCATCCCTGTCTCCCTAGCCTGGGAGAAGAGCACACAATCTTCCTCTGGCCCCTCATGACAGACTTTCAATAGCATGGGATGAGGGTTTGTGGGCACATCATAAGATGTCATCCCTTGAACCACAAAGTGACAGTCTGGACCTGGTCTACTGCACTTCAGTTCTGTCAGCTTGCCTTCAAAGCCCACAAGTTGGGCAAACAAGTGTCCCTTACTGTTGAACCTGAGCCAGGACAATTTTAAGTAACATTCCCACGCCAGCAGGATTCCAGTGTGCAACCCTAGAGTGATTTTCTCTGCTCAGGGTTGTAGACTTGTCACTAATCAGCCTCCTTGCTCTGGGTAAATTCAATCAGGGCTGTAGAATTGTACAGCAAATATTTGGTGCCATCTGCCTGGGAAGATCAAAGCATGCTTGGAGAAGGAAAGTATGTGAATATCTATAACAAGGGTAAAATGATTTCACGCAGAGACTCAAAAGGGGCTCCGAAATGCTTAGTGAAGTGACACATAGTCCTATGACCTCAGTGTAAGTCCAGCCTCTGCCACTTTTTGCCCATGTGGTCTTGAGCCTCTCCTTGACCTCTCTGACCCTCAGGCTCTTCTTCTGTGAAATGGTGATAATAATACCTCCCAGGGATGTTGTGAAACTCAAAAGAATATAATAATAATCTATAGCTACTCTTTGTTGAGCACTTGTTCTGAATACTTTCCAGGTGTTGGCTTATTTATTCTTTACACCCGCCCTAGCGAGTAGGTACTGTTACTATTCCCATTTTACAGCTGAGGACAGTGAGCCTAGAAAGGCTAAATAACTAGCTCAGGGTCTCACACTTAGGAAGTAGGGGAGCCAGGATCTGACCCCACCTTGTCTGGCTCTGTAGCCCGTGCTTTTAACCGCCAAGCAATACTCAGGAAGGATTTTGTCCTTGTAGACCCGCCATCCTCAGCATACCCAAGATGCCCCGGGACCGCACCTGCTTTCTGGGGTCAGTTCTTTCCTTCCCTGGAATCCCAGCCTGAAAGCTGTGGCTCCAACTTGCCTGCCTCCTGCCAAGTACTTCTGCCTGCTACATGCCTATTTGCATTTTTAAAAATGTAATAGAATGATAAAACAGATGCTTGCCTCCCTGAATAGCAGCAGCTCCGTACACCAGGTTGCCGGTCATTCCCATTCTCACTCCCCCGACAAGTGCTTGTTGAGAGGCCAGTAGGAACAAGGCGCCAGGGGAAACTGCAGGATGGGACAGGTGTGAGGGAGAGCCGAGGAGATTGCATCCCAGAGGCACAAGGAGGCTGATTAGTGACAAGTCTGCAACCCTGAGCAGAGAAAATCATTCTAGGGTTGCACACTGGAATCCTGCTGGCGTGGGAATGTTACTTAAAATTGTCCTGGCTCAGGTTCAACGGTAAGGGACACTTGTTTGCCCAACTTGTGGGCTTTGAAGGCATTTGGCGTCTGTGAACTGAAGTATATGGGCTGGTCAAAGACGGACAGCCAGAGAGAAAGAGACTGCCGAGTAGAAGGGCAGTGCAGTTCGACCCAGGGTCATGCTCAGTGTGGCCTCAGAGGTGCCCACAGAGGCCTGACATGTGGCCCCTAGGGCTGCTTCGTGTGGCTCTGTTGACACGTGCCTCCAGAGTGTGACTAGTTGTTAGGACTTAGAAGTGATTTCATGGACATTTCAGAGGCAAGTTAGCCTATTTTTTCATTTTTGCCCCCAATGTGACTTAACCGGAAACTCCCCTGTATTTAGGGCACCTGACTGGGGCATGTGCTCCTTGGCCTGGGCTGGAAAGACGACGGTCCAATCCTCCCTCTCCAATCCCCTTATTAGTCAGTCACCAGCTGCTGCAGGACCTCCTGCCAGACATGCGACAGTGCTGCTGATGAGCTATGGCCTTCTTTGAGTCCATTATGCTCTACTCACATCTTCCTAAAGAACCACTAGGGAATACCCTGAAAACTTGATTACCTTTTATTAGGGAAACACCCTGGACTACTTCATGGCATCTAAAACATACCTTGGCCTCATTAGCAAATCATTCCCCACTTGGTAAGATTTTCCAAACATGTTTCCAAATTCTGGGGCACTTATGATTCTCTATACACCATTATATACGAGATGCAGGGAGCAATGGCTAATAAGCTGAACAACAGAGTCAGGGGCAGAAAGGATTTCTGAGGGCAGGAATAATGAGTCAAAGCTAACAAGATGAAACCTAATTGGTATAAATGTCAAGCCCTGCACACAAGGCTCAAAAACCCAAGTGTATAAGCCATAGGAAAAGAACATCTGGATTGACAACCAGTCATGTGATAAAATCTCAAGGCAGGATGGCAGATCCCAAGCTTTGCACGTTGTCCCCCAGGCTTCCAGTGCTGGCGCCTGTGAGATCCCCTAATCAGTCCCAGTCTCAGAATCGAAGTTCAGCCACAGCATAGCTCCTAACATAGCACCGAGTTCCCTCCACCTGGTGCCTCCACTAGGGAGTGAAACCAATTTGCCAACCTGACACTTTGCAATCAGGCCCATTAGATCCCCTGCCCCCATCTTAATGCCCCAACCATCTCATCAATGGCTTTCCTCACCTGAGAGAATAGAGAGACTCTCCTGACCAATGGAACTCACGCTTCCCCTCTTTACAGAAATTTCCTATTCATGAATATTTTGGTGAGCTTCCTTGATCAGAGTCACCGTAGCTGAATGTGGCAGCTGTGAGTTCTCAGGATGCTGTTTCAGCAGAGCAATTTCTTCAAAAGCCACCACTCTAAGGTTCACTGACAGCAAGGTCAATAACGTTCATGGGAGAATGAACTAATGAACACTTTAGCCCAGCACTCCATGCCCTCTACCCTATACCCCAGTGATATCAAATGGTCTGTAGTTCCCTACATCCTGTCTGGGCTGCCTCTTCAGCTTAAGACTCAACCC